ACCTTTAAGGAGGAAAGAAACATATTGAAATTAAATTCAAAATATTACAAATTGCTAAGATTATATTCTAAAGGAATTTGATGAAATTATATAAAAAAAGAAAAATAATAAGAATAATTTCTTGTCTGAAAGAGCTGGAAAACAAGTATTTGCTGACATCTAGTGGACAATTAGAACATAGCACATTAAAGACAACGCCCAGAAACAAAGAAAAATCTGTTCCCATGAACTCTAATAACCTTTAAGAAGATAGTTGCCAGGGTATAAAGAAGAGATTTATGAATTGTTTGCAGAAAAAGAAAAACTTTTATCTATGACTAATCTTTGAGACAGGAAGTTACGGGAAGGATTTAAGATGGCTAACCATATTGAATTGCAATTCTGACTGGTTGACAATTGACTCTTGAAAGAAAGAACTGTTATAAAACATTGATTTTACTGAAACCTTGACAATTGAAAATACAGTGGATTATAAAAATTATATATAAAGAAATGAATTATACAAAATTGGACTGTTTGGATTTTGAGTTTTGGCTGGCTTGACAAGGCTAACTACAGAGACTATGACGGATTACTCAAAAGTGGGTGATAACATGGATATGACATATTTATCAAACAATGATAGAAAACCACACTTAATATCTGCTTCTGAAGGACTCAGCCTGAAAGATCAAAGACCTCTAGAAGCAACATTCCAAGATAAGACAAATACTTTCCAAGAGGAAATTTATGCAATGCTACAACAGATACAAATCACAATAGCTTTAAACCATGAGAAGATTAAACACAACTTTGATAACATAAATGAATATACTTCTAGCTTCAATAAACAATAAAAAAAACACCCAAAGAATGATGGTAAAGAATGAACAAACAAATCAGATAATAGAATGCAAACTAGAAAAAAATGACTTAATTGGCGGAGCCACAAATGAAGGGAATTATAACTTAATACAAACAAGAAAAAAACTTACAAGATTTGGATACAACAATAAATATGGAAAACATACCTTATGCATTAGAACATCAAAATAAACCTGAGAAGAAAGAAGACTTAACAAAATGGACATTGCTAGGAGAATCATTGTTTGGGAGACAAAAAAGCATATATCTTACGTACTATGTGTCCTCTACTTCTAACAACAACTTCAAAAATACAAGAACTGTTTGACAAGTTGAAAATACTAATTTGGAAAACTATTTGGCAAAGGAAGAAGGCCAGAGACGCGCCTAACAGACTTGATCTGCCCTACCAGATGGAATATTATACGAGCAAATACTTGTTTGAATATAGCTAAATAAATAAATAACTTTGGCTATAAAGGGGCTTTAGAATAAGTGGGATAAGAGATATAAATAATATAGTATTTTTGATAAGATACAAAATATAAAATTATTGGGATGATGTAAGTGAAGAAAAATTTTGAATTTTAAAGATAAATTAAGTTTGAAAAGATTTAGGATTAAGAAATGATTGAAATATTGAGGGGAAATTAGGCTTAATAAGAACTTTGAAAAAAGATATATAGTGATTTAACAAATCAACTTTTACAAATAGAAGTAAAATATAAATTGATTAGAAAAGATGTTATAAGTAGTATAGTATGTCTATAATATATGAAATATGAAAATAATGGGATAATATATTTAAATGGAAAATTTGGCTATTTAGATGTTAATTACGAAGAAAATTATGATTGATAAAAATTGTTTGAATATTAAGGAGAAATTGAGCTTAAATAAGATTTACGAAAGTAAGATACATGGTGAATCAATAAGATGACTTTTACTAAAATAATATAAGTTGATAAGAAAAAAATACTATATATAGATGCTGTTGTTGGTATAAATATAGAACAAAATGTTTATTTTAATCATTTATATATGGAAATATAAAATATAAAAAATTATATTTGTTTAATGTTGAAGAAGGAGAATACTACTGGGAGAAGAGAAAATCAAAGAAAATGACTAATTAAGGAAATACAAAAATTAATTATTATTGATTGTTAATTAACTATTATTGATTATATATTTTTCCTAAAAAATTATGAACCAGGACAACACGCTGTACCCCAGGGACTAAGGTTGTTATTGTAAAAATCAATAAAACTTACAAAAAAAGAAAGAAAGAAAAGGCTGATATTAAAAAACTGTCAAGAAAATCAAAAAGAAATTTTTGAACACTGCAGCTGGAAGAGAAATACTGCAGAATATTGCAGCTGTTCCAGAGAAAAGGCAGAGAGCCACTGTAAGGACTTCTTCCAAAGTAAAGGCATGGGAAGTGACCAGAAACAATCTTTTTTGCACTGTGAAATAATATTGCTCAGATCATATATACTTGCTTTCCGGTTGTCTTTAAGAGGGCTAAAAAGGGAGAAAAATGGGAGTGGCTTTTCAAGTTAATATATCCAGTTGGAAATGGTATGGTTATACATCAGTAAGCTAATATGTCAAGTACTTCATATTGCTATTTTGTAAGTGTTCTGCACATTTACATGTTGAGTTAAAACTATGTTTTTAAGCAGTAAAAGCCCCAATTTTGCAGCGGGATTTTTAATTGTTAATTTTCTAATTTCTTCTGTAAATAATACAATGCAGCTGTGGCTGCTACAAAGGTAAATGAAAACTGGATAAATTAAATAAATTTTCAGTTAGTGACGATGTCAGCATTGAGAGTTGAAATTGAGCAATAATTCTTTCACTGCTTCCGTTTTCTAATACACCGGCTTTTCTACTTCCAAATAAAAAAGTCATATTTTCTTAAGTTCTCATCCACTAGGACATCTAGACCCATCTCAAAGTTATAACTGTTTGATAGGTATCATCTATTCTATAGATGAGGGTGAAAGAATAGCATCTGCTTTAGAAGCTCACTCTAAGCCAGTGTTTCTCAACCTTGACAATTTTAAGGCATGTGGACTTCAACTCCCAGAATTCCACAGCCAGCAATGCTGGCTGTAGAATTCTGGGAGTTGAAGTCCACATGCCTTAAAATTGTCAAGGTTGAGAAACACTGCCCTAAGCCTTTCTTAATTCAGTTTTTAATAAGCTTTTCTGCTTTTTTATTTCATCCCATTTTGTTGTATTCTACTTTCATATTTCACTTCCCTACTAGAGACCTGCAATTTTATTATTTTTACTAAAGACTGGTATTTTTTGTCATCTCTGCCATGGCGAAAAGGAAGAAGAGGCAGAGTCCACATTCTGCCTCTCAGGCTTCACTTAAACCTACCAAACAGCTCAACATTGATGGAATCCTAAAAAAACAAACAGCCACTTGCATTAAGTAACCAAACTTCTCTTTCTTGTTAGCTTCTCAATTAGATGCAACCCCTGGAATGGGATTTACAAGCAGAAATAGAAAATTCCCATCTCTTACATTTTTCTATCCCAGAAGAAGCTTCCTCTTCTCAAATTGCAGCCATTTGTCCAAGGCTTATATAACAAGGTGATGAGGACTTAAAAAAACAAAAACATTAATGATTTTATAACTAGACAATGTATATTGATGGCACAAATGGTATTGTCAAGTTGCAAACGCTTGACTACTATTAACAACAAAGTTAACTCTAAAAGAGTCTTTCATTATGACTAAACACAGATATCCAAACCTTGCTACTGAGCCAACTAAAATAAATTCATGCAGAGGCAACTGTAAGCAATGATGGTGAAAAGGTAGATTCTAATTTGGAACCTAAAAGGAACAAGGCTAAGAGATCAAAATAACCTAGAGAGGAGCATGCAAAGCAAGTCTCTCCCTAGGCTGTACTGGATCAAAGGTTTGCAAATCATAATAGTTACTTAAATCAAATCACTCTACAAATCCAAAACAATAAATAGAGGAAAATGGGAATCCAGAAATGCAGCCATATTCTCTCTCAGGCAGCTTTTACACCATGAAAAGTAATTGTTGATATGAAAAAGATTGAATGATTCCCATCCAGGAGAAACTTTAAACATATCCTTCTTTCTTTCAAACATCCTATTATTGCCGGCAGGCTGTTCAAAATGAATCCTTTGTCTCGTAAGCTTCCCATTACTCTGTGTTTCATACAGAGGGAGTCAGTTCATTAATAACTTGGGGGGGGGGGAAGAAGTGCTTCTACCTTAAAGTTAATAATATAGATAATAATAAATAATAAAATAAAAACTTAATTAAAAAGTAACCTTAAGGATGTTCTACTTCTATTGTCCTTGGGAAGTGTCAGCCTGAATAAAACCTTCCACAAGTCAATCTCTGAAGAAATGTTGAAGATAAACTTGATTAACTCATTCAGTACTCTGTCAGATGGGTATTATAAAAAGGCAAGCAACTTGAGGGATCCAGGTGTCCCTCAAGTTACCTGCCTACAAAGCCATCTAATAACTAAAAAGTTTTCATATACTGGCAGAAGAACCATTCAATGGACCTTGATAAGACTTCCCAAAATATTCCTAACAGAATAGATAAGTATGCCCCAATCCAACTCCTGGGTCAACTAACTTTCTAAAGTTATTTCAAAAGATGGGTTTTCTCCAAGCATCTCCTTTCAATGACCTCCGAGACAAGGGAATTTTTAAACAGAGTCCTAGTTATTAGTAATACCTAAACTGTATTAGATCCCTAAATTGGTTGGCTAAGAATAAAACTATTTTTCAACTCTAAAAAATATCTGGCACTGAATACAATATGAAATTGTGATAACAAAGATGCCCTGCGTATACTATTATGGAATAATAGTAAAGCCTTTATCTGTACTGTTCATGTGCTTCTTCTGCAATGTTATATTGTAGGAAACATAAAAATAGTCTGGAAAAATACTGTGTTGTATTTTTAAAATCCAATATCATTCTGAGAACTTGTATCTTGAAAGTTACTTTGAGCTAAGAAACAACAAATGAATTCAGATACATGGTAAATTAGAAATAAATTTAAGAAAGTCTTTTTTTCCGTTCTAATGAAAATCATCTTTTTCTAAGGAATTATTTGTATAAATAATAGTAAGTTTGTATTATAGTGCTGGACCCAAGGGACAAAATATTTACGAATGGAGATCAACTATACTTGGACCTCTAGGTTCTGTGTATGAAGGAGAAGTTTTTTTCCTTGACATCACCTTCTCTCCAGACTATCCATTTAAACCACCAAAGGTAAGAAGGGAAAGTAAAATTAACATGGTTGTCTAATCTGGTCACATCTAATTCCATAGAAATTATTGGATTTAAGTTAATTATAAATAACTTGCTTCATAAATTTCAATTAAACTAAAGCATTAGTAATTTAGCATGGTCTCATACTTTTAATCAATACTTCTGACTGAAGTTACAAACTATACTAATGTAGTTTAGGGAAAATAACTAACCTCAAGTTCCTTTTTTTTAAGAAACTAGATGATTCTCTCATTACAATTTCTAAAAACAAAAACATTTTTCACAATTTTGAGTCAGGAAGTATTATGATAAACATGATGTTAATTTAAAATTTTTAACATCATTATTTAGGAATAAATAAAATTGCTTCATGCTTCCTTTTTTGGCATTTTATAAACCATAATGGAAGTTTTATACTTGACTTTTTGTCCCAGATAAGGAACCATTTATCACACATAATATCTCCAAATTTTAGTTACTATTACAATCATTGATGGACTGCAATAGATACTAATTCCTTTCAGATTTTATATAATTATGCTTAAATTCATCATCTGTCCCCCATATGGATTTGTTAGTTATCTCTCTCTCTCTCCCCCCCCCCTCCGTGTGTGTGTGTGTGTGTGTGTGTGTGTGTGTGTGCATATGCGCAAATTCAGCAAAACTTTCAGTTCCTTTTTTTCCACCACATTGCTTTTTGTTCATTTTTTTCATATATATTTGTTCATATATTTTCAATAATAAAAACTGGATAAATTTTTATTTTCCAAAGCTATCATAGCCTACACACTGAAACTATGTAATATATAAAATATAACTCTTTTCCAGGTTACATTTCGGACAAGAATTTATCATTGTAATATTAACAGTCAAGAGTGATTTGCTTGAACATTTTAAAAGATAACTGGAGCCCAGCATTAACAATATCCAAAGTCCTTCTTTCTATTTGTTCACTTCTTACAGACTGCAATCCTGGTAAGACAAAAAGAATTTATAAAATATGTTGTAATTTAGCTTTATGCTGGCTGTATATTATTTTTGTTTCTATCTTTAAAAAGTGAAAGTAAACATCTCTCTACCCTAATTGACTAAGAAATGCCATATTAAAATAACTCATGCTATTTAATTATATGAGTTAACAGAATGTTGTATTCCACTATTTAATATCCAAGAATATATTTTCATAAGTTGCTAGTAGAAATAGCTAATCAAAAATAAATGCATAAGGTATTTGAGAAGTAGTTACTATGGCATCAAAGGTGGAGAGGATATGGCATTGCAATGAAAGTTCTATTTTGTATATAGATGTACATACAAAGTAGATATGTTTGCATCAATGATACTGTATTTCCCATCTTGCCTGGTCTGAGTACATATCTGACTACTACACAAAGGTTAGATTATAACCTGGTTAAGATAACTGCTGAATTTAGTAGTAGCAGACTACCAACAGCAGTCTGACCTATGGTGGTCGGATCTATGAGAACCAAGACCTAAATGACTAGGCTGACAGAGAAAGTCAGAACAAATGGTTGGCAATCAGGCACTCTGTGACAGCGGTGGCAGAGACAAAGACCTGGCAGACCAGGAATATGCAGAATTTGGTGGCTCCCAGGACTCTTCTAAAATTTCCCCAGGTAAAGAGAAGACCTTGGGTGCACTGTGGCCACCCAAAGGCAGTGGACAAGATGATGGCTATGCCAGACAAAGAGTAAGGGCCTTGAATTTGTTGAAAGGGGGTTCTTATGGTGAAAGCCTAGGAATGGCTAGCTTGTCTGTGGTTGATGTTAGGGGCCCTCCATGCAAAATAAGAGTCAGGTAGACCTTGGGAGAGTTTGCCATCCTTCCAGCTGACCATTAAGAGGGACTAGCTTAAGAGGAAGGATGCTGTGTGGGGAATGTGGAGAGGTGAAGCTTTGTTGGCATCAAGAGCCTGAGTTATAGTGGGGCCTCCCTTCTCATCTATCTCCTGAGGGAGTGTCTGAGAGAGTGATTGTGAGTGGCTTAAGGGTATGGCAAAGTCCATGGCTTAAAAGCAGTGGGGTAAAGGTGGGAGTGGGAAAATCATCTTGGGAGCTCTTGGGCAGGGCAATATATAAAGGTGGCAATAGGCACGGATTGTTAAGGGAGACAAAGAACAGGCCAATGCTTAGAACCAGTGGCATGTTCCAGCCCCCTGACCTCACTTCCAGACTCTGAACAGCATACCCTTGAAAATCCTGTGGTCCAAATGTGATGGGTTGATGAGATTGACCAAAATTAATTTGGTAGGTAACCTATGCTATGTATGGTCACTTCTCAGAGATGTTCCTGATTGGTTTAGGTTTAACATCAGCCGAAACCCCAGTGCAGGGGAGGTGGGTGATAGTAGTCATGTGAGTATCTCTTTTGGCCTTCGGGACTTTGTTCCCCAAATTCCCAACTGCAAGACCCTTCTGACCTTGAGTTCATGCCATCAGTTGGGAATGTTCCTACTGTAGCAGCCTCTCTGCTGTTTAGCAACCTCCTTACTTGAGTTGTTGGAGGCCATTTCAGGGCTGATTGTGGAGTTCCCTACTCTTAAAGTCCTGGGAGACTCAAATTCCTGGGTTGGCCTCAAAGTGACTGAAGAATTTTGTGCTGTCCCACTCATGTGCACATGCACACACACACAGAGAAAGAGAGAGGGGGGGGGAGAGAGAGAGAGAGAGATACCACAGGTGTATGGAGTTAAGGCTTCCAAGAGCCTGAATTGGTGTTCCCCAGCAATTCCTTGTGCCAGCACCAAATCAACCCCAATGAATTCCACACGCTACTCTAGTCTTCAAAGCAAAAGCAAGTCCATTCCACTAAGCCAAAGCAAGTTCCCAAGACAAAGGCAAATTCACAGGCAAGGCAGGGCAAGGCAAAGACACAATCTGAAGTTCAAGGCAAGAACACACAGCAAGGAAACGAACACGTTATTCCCAGAATTGTCTCCATCTGTCCGCTGTGCTAAATAGTCAGCTTGTGGTGCAGCCCATCAAGAGGGCAACACAGCCTCCTCACAAGTCATCTGGCTGACCTTCACTGCTCCTATCTTTTCTCTGTCCTACATGTTCTTGGATCAGGTGCAGAAGCAGTTCCTCTTTCTCATTGCTGACTGGTTGTGGCTGCATGCTTTTCCCACCTGAAGCCTCAGGGCTGTCCTGCTGCAGCTGTGCTTCAATTCAAATCACTCTCAGACAGCTACTTGGAGCTATTTACAACTCCCCTCCTGAGGTGCCTGGAACTGATTCATCCTCCTCCAGGCTAACGTCTGGAGAGGTATCTGGTCTTTTCTGGTCATATGGGAACAATTTAATTCTGTTGGACCTGATGAAATGGACAAGGTCCTCAATGCAATCAGTGCAACCATCTGTCAATTAAATACCTCTCCTGATTGGTAAAAGCCTCCAGGATCCTGACTACCAAGTGGGTTCAGGCAGTGATAAATTCTTTACTGCAGGAAAATGTTCCCAGGCTGCATACTTTTCCCACCTGAAGCCTCAGGGCTGTCATGCTGCAGCTGTGCTTCAATTCAAGTCACTCTCAGATGGCTACTTGGAGCCATTGACAACTCCCCTCCTGAGGTGCCTGGAACTGATTCATCCTCCTCCAATCTAACATCTGGAGAGGTACCTGGGGGAGTCGTCACAAGTTCATGGCTCCCATAGCAGCCTTGAGCCTATCCCAGATCATCTTGTGTCCAGCTCAGGACAGTGATCACATGCCATTTATGATCTTGTTAGAGCATTGGCAATATGACCTGGTGACAGATATCCTGGGGGCTTTGTTGCAGAATCCTGCCAAAGTTCTGGTGAGATCCTGGAACAAAATGGTAGCTTGGGATAGAATCATGCCTATGCCGCTTCTCTTGACCCATTGTTCTCCCTGTGGTTCACAGAGGACCTGCAGGTTCTGAAAAGGGATACAGATGCCTAAATCAATGCTGGAGGAAAACAGGGATAGCTCCAACCAGACACAATTTAAAGCTGCTATTAAGGCCTACCTCATGGTGGTAAGAATGGTGAAACACCATTACTTGGCCACTCTTATTGTTTTTGCAGAGTGTTTCCTGGAGCTCCTGTTCAGGATTACCTGGTCTCTCCCACCTTCCTCAGGTGACCATTTTCAGGGCTGCATAGACTAGGAATTTGTTTAATATTTGATGGACAAATTTGCTTGGATTCATTTCCAGTTGGTGCAGATCTATGTGAGATGCCTGGGGAAAGGTCTTTTCTGGTCATATGGGAACAATTCAATCCTGTTGGACCTGATATAATGGACAAGGTCCTCAGTGCAAGCATCGGTCAATTAAATACCTCTCCTGATTGGTAAAAGCCTCCAGGATCCTGACTACCAAGTGGGTTCAGGCAGTGATAATTTTTTTATTGCAGGAAGATGTTCCCAGGCTGCATGCTTTTCCCACCTGAAGCCTCAGGGCTGTCCTGCTGCAGCTGTGCTTCAATTCAAATCACTCTCAGACGGGTACTTGGAGCCACTGACGACTCCCCTCCTGAGGTGCCTGGAACTGGTTCATCCTCCTCCAATCTAACATCTGGAGAGGTATCTGGGGGAGTATCTGGGGGAGTCATCACAAGTTCATTGCTCCCATAGCTGCCTTGAGCCTATCCCATATCATCTTGTGTCCAGCTAAGGACAGTGATCACATGCCATTTATGATCTGGTTAGAGCAATGGCAATATGACCTGGTGACAGATATCGTGGAGGCTTTGTTGCAGAGTCCTGCCAAAGTTCTGGTGAGATCCTGGAATAAAATGGTATCTTGGAATAGAATCATGCCTATGCAGCTTCTCTTGACCGATTGTTCTGGTTCTTCCTGTGGTTCACAGAAGAGCTGCAGGTTCTGAAAGGGATAGGGATGCCTAAATCAATGCTGGAGGAAAACCGGGATAGCTCCTACCAGACACAATTTAAAGCTGCTATTAAGGTCTACCTCATGGTGGTAAGACTGGTGAAATACCATTACTTGGCCACTCTTATTGTTTTTGCAGAGTGTTACCTAGAGCTCCTGTTCAGGATTATCTGGTCCCTTCCATCCTCCTCAGGTAACCATTTTCAGGGCTGCATAGACTAGGAATTTGTTTAATATTTGATGGACAAATTTGCTTGGATTCATCCCAGTTGGTGCAGATCTATGTGAGATGCCTCGGAAAAGGTCTTTTCTGGTTATGGGAACATTCAATTCTGTTCGACCTGATGAAATGGACAAGGTCCTCAATGGAGTCAGTGCAACCATCTGTCAATTAAATACCTCTCCTGATTGGTAAAAGCCCCCAGAATCCTGACTACCAAGTGGGTTCATGCAGTGATAAACTCTTTCCTGCAGGAAGATGTTCCCAGGCCTTTAAAGGAGGGGCTGGTTTGCTTCTTCCTCAAAAAACACACTTGACCCTATCTTGACAATTTTTATCCAGTTTCCCACCTTCCCCTTTTTTCAGAATCCAGCAGGGAAGTCATGTTACGAGTTCTGTCATCTAGTCAGCCACGTTTGGTAGGCTGTTGGTAGTGAGCCTTTTCTGCTATGCTGCCGGCACTGTGAAATCTTTCCCCCTAAGGTGAGCTTGACTTTATCACTGCTCATCTTTCAGAGGGACAGGTGAACAGCTCTGCTATTTTTATTATTTTAATAATTTTATTATTGTTGTTTTAGTTTGTTTTTTAGTATTTTTAATTTATTTATTAACTGTTTTAGTTCTAATGTATACTGCTCAGGGCCACTGTTTGTGAGATAGAGGAGGTATATAAATTGGTTTAATTAATTAATCAATCTTAAACTGAATTTGAATCTAGAATCACAATTAGCAATTCACTTGAAACTTGGAAAGTAGTTGACTGTGTTATTTTCTTTGCAGCTGATCCCCTGGTTGGAACTATTGCTACCCAATATATGACAGAGTGGAGCATGACAGAACGGCCAGACAGTCGACCAAGAGATATGGAACATAGGAAGCTGCTGAAGAACATGCTGGACCTGTATGAGAACATTCATTAAGTGCATCAGTAACCCTCCTGTTTAATTTTTATTAAATTTTGAAATATACTTCCCCTTTCTCTTTTATTACTTTATTTTATTTTTCTGCTGAACTTGAAAAGTATATCTTTTTAATACAAATTTGGAATTTGGGTTTAAATGCAAGGAATGTTGAATCTGTATTAATCTAGAAAGCGGCTCAGAGAGGGGATAATTTCACACACATGTGCACTGTTTGCATAAATGCAGCTTCACATGCTCATGCACTTGCTTGCCGCTTATGTGGCCTGGTTCCCAACAGGCCACGGCCTAGCACCAGGCTAGGGGTCGGGGACCCTGGAGTACAGCTTGGTCACAAAACTTTATATTAATGTACTTTTTCTTTTGTGTGTTTGAAAAAGCAAGCGCACTCAGAACTATATTATTTCTATTTAAATATAGTGTTTAGAAGATTTTTTTATGGAAGTCTTTAAGGATGGGTGCATGTTACTGGGAACAGGTTTTTTTATCAAAAGCATAAAATCAAGAATCACTGCATTATTAAGGCTATATTTTAACACAAAGCTACTAGATTGAACCACAGATATGTATGTTGATTTATGTATATAAAAGTGCTTATAAATTTCTTAGTGATCTGCCACATTTGATTACAGATTAGTTGATACACACACTTGTATTATTAAACCACTCAAATAAAAACATTGTGACTAATAATATGCAGTTCTTGTACGAAAATACTACTACTTCTTGTAGAGTAGCATAAATTGGTCTTGGATTTAACTAAAGGATTTTTCATTTGTTCTTTCTTCTAAGCTACTCATTTTTGAAAAAGAAAACTCCAGTGTTGTCATTTGTAAACTCATTGTAGAAAATTCTATCTCATAAATTCTTAAATGTGTACTTTAGGATTGCTGATCATCTTTTCTTACAGTGTTGCTTAAAAATCTGCAAATCCCTTAGAATTTAATATTTCTGCATAAATAGATTCTTCTTTCCTATAAAAGTCTAGATGAAAACTAGATAAACTAGAGTTCGCCTATCAATTAAACAAATGAGTCAAAAACATTATATTTGAGGAAAATAATCCAAAACTACATATTTGTGTGTAGAAAATGTATGTGAACCTCTTGGGTTATCAGTTCATTTGAAATGGAAATTAGAGTCAATGGGATGATAATCAGGCACGAATGCAGGACATTCTACTTTATTTAAAGAATAGAAATTTGAGTATTCACTGTCAAAGCCTGATCTCATTGGAAGATGTAGGAGTATATGTGGCTCAAACAGGGGTGATTTGTGAGGATTAAAAATAATGGTGGATATTGTCCAGGTGGGAAAAAGTTAAAAAATATTCCAAAGAATTTGAACTGTGCCAGTCCACTATCAGATAGATCATGTACAAATGGAGGCCATTCAACACCATTATTACCCTGCCCAGGAATGGTCAACCAACCAAGATTACAACAAGAGCAATACATGTAATGATCAGGGGATCTCAAACAAATTCAGGAGAAGAAAATAAGAGGCTCTCTTGCATTGTCAAATGTCAATACCATCTGTAGAATACCAAAGTATAATATATTGTGTGATTTCAGGGTTGCAAGGAGAAAGATACTATCCTACAAAAAAGAACATTACTGCTTGTCTACAGTTTACAAAAAAACATGTGGATAAGGCTATTAGACAAATATTCTGTGGATGATGAAACTAAAATAGAATATGAATGAAAAGCTTGTTTCATGAAAGCCAATCTGTAAGAGGAGAAAAGGCAAAACCTGAGGTTGCGTGAAGAGAGGACTTAATCTAGAATTGTTACATCTCCACAAAAGCTCCAAGTCTTATTTTGACTAGACTTGACTAGATTCTTGTGTATACCCTTCTATTCTTCGCACCCAATACAAACAGTTCATTCCTGTATAAGAGCTTTATGTCATATATGAAAAGAAGATGGTGTTTGTATCAAGGTTTGAGCTTAACTCTGGACTAGGATGGCTTGCCATCATTAATGGTTCTATGAATTCTTAATTGTACATAAATTGTACAGAAAGATGCCACATAAAGGAAAGTAACCAGAAAGATAAATGTACTCACGATTTTGTCCATACACCTATGCATTCATTGAGCAATCAAGGAAAGATACGCATCTCCAAGAATTCACCTACTCCAAGTAGATGAAATCGCACCTAAGTCATTCAATGACTTCTTCAGTGCAGACTGTTATATTATATCCTACAAGTCACATATATGCTAAATTGTGGGTTAATTCAATAGTCATAAATCAATTATCCCAAATAGTGGGGTATGATTATTGTAATATAATAAATGGTGATGAAATTCTTCAATTACATCCTCCACCCTACTACCAGGATAGTAACTGCTGAATAACATTCAAATAGAAGAATGATATAATCTTTAAATATTTTGCTTACATGTAGTAAACTACTGTATATTTAGGTTTTCCCTTTACCTTATGTTTTTAAAGCAACACTTTCCTTTATATGACCAGGTTATGCTATGCAATTGTATAAAATAAATATGACCTAAACCTTACCACCATGTATTGTATAAATATATATCTGCTCAGAACTGACCATCAAGCTACTTTTAGATGTGCTGAACTAGAAGAAGATATTTTGCTCTTCCAAGACAGAATATGTATTATGATCTGAATCTGATCTGCTAATATCCAAACTGACATTGTTTTCTGCAACTTGCCTCACCCAAGAACTGCAATTGTGTAAATACTTATTTGGTAGCATACTTCATTGAACTCAGGAATTTCAATTTTCCCAAGTCAAAATGTATTACACAAACAGCAGAATTTCATGTTAAGTAAGATTTTAGAAATTGTAAGAAGCATATGTGTTTGCTTATTTAAAAAAACAAACGTGATTATTTAAATATATATTGTATGTTTAAATCCTTTCTATAAAACTTGATTTCAAAGAAATAAAATATTTTATTTGCAATTTTACATGCAATATGTTAGTTCTAAAATGCAAAGTATATTATTTAAGAGTATCTGTGCATATGAAATTTTGAATGATTTAATTTTTGTTTACTTTCTGATTTAAAATAGATCTGGATTCATTGTCATTTCACTATTGTAAATTATGCACTTTGGAATAGCATTAGGAAAGAATGCACTTTTAAATAATTCAGCTGGATTAGCTCTCAGTATTTATACTTGCTTTTTTAAAAAGCTATTCTTTATTTCTTGTATTATTACAAACAACACATTTACAAATCAGGTTTTCACAATTCATCCCTGCACTTCCATTATTTGATGTGAAGATCAAAGTGGATTGTGTCAGTATTTAAAATAGCATCAAGGCAATATGTTCAAGCTAGCACCAGGAGGCAGAGTTGTAAAAGAAACAATTATGGAAGCAATGTGTTGCACCATTGCTATCTATTTCACCTTTGCAATAGCTGATCATAGTTCCTGTTGTCCCATTACTAGTCTCTGGGAAATATGAAACTCACAGTCATGAAAACCATTGTAAGTGTAACATTCATATACTGTACCACTGAAATTCAGCCAGTCATTTCATACTAACAATTTTTATCCGAATCCAGGTAAACTGAGTCTTTTTATCAATTTTTCTGTGTCAGTCCATCAGACTAATATTTTAGGATTTTCAAGCTTGAAATTCTGATTTCTAAGTGACATTCCAAGAGCGAAACAAGTCCATTTCTTTAAATCATATTGTGGTTGTAGTCCTCACATATTATCCCACGAGGCAAGTGGACTTTCTTGTTTTTTCTTGTCCAGTTGCCTCATGAAAAAGCATCTTTGGGATAACTATGATCTGGATGAGAATCTCCATAGACATTCCCCACATACTAATTCTAGATATTTATGAGCTGAAGTTTGAAGCTAAGTAAAAGTTGCATGGATTCACTGTTATTATGACTTAATGTAAGTAATGATTTACAAAAAGTGCAGGTAGTCTTTTTCTGCTGTTCCATTATATGAAATTCTATGGCCCCTTAGTTGCTGAAAGGGGCCAACTTCAGTATAAACATTAAGGATTTTTCAACACGTGCTTTTTGCTATGCTTTTTCTATTTAAACATTCACAAAATGGCAGACAGGCTTTTGTACACGGATAAAAAATGTTTTTTTAAAGGTCTCATTACCTTTGGTTTTGCTACCAATAGCCTGAAGAGGGAATTGGAGTTTCTTCATATAAGAAACACCACCTATACTTTTTGGTTAAATCTACTAACTTTATACAAGCAGAACCAATTCTATTATAATCTGTTGAAACCTATATGAGTCATTCAGCAGGAATGCATTCTAAACAAATAATTACATTTATTGAATAAATGTAAAAAATAACTACTTGATACATACTCATTTTAAAGTGATTAAATACTGCATTAAGCCAATATTTTTACCTTTTATTAATCTTTTCTATTCTATAGACTATAATTCTATAGTCCAGAACACTGTATTAACAATATTGAATAATATACTAAAGTAGTAACTCTTAAAAGTTACTCATTTAAAGGTATTTATTATTTATGTGATTTGTAGACTGCTCTAATTGCTTGCATTGTATTTCAACTCTTGTAAAAGGTCTAGTCTGAGTTGAAGGACATCCTGCACTGACGCCTTCATGGCAAATTCCTTTCCTTTGATGTTACTGCCAACTATTTGCAAACTTAAGAGGTGACAGGAAAGAGCATAGCCTGTATACAAATGCAGTTCTACAATTTCTTTAACCATTCCCAAATTCATTATTTAAGAGAGAGAGAGATTAACATTTTCAGAGAGCATTTCTACTTATGGGTTTGGGGGGAGTTTGTCACCTATTTAAATTATTATATTAAGGGAGAGTATGAAGTGATAGTGTTGGGGCCAATTCTCCCAAATAAATATGTATGTGAGAATTGCTTGAAAGAACATAATAATGGAATTCAACCCATGTCATTCTTTCAACCTGATGCCTTCTGTGGCTCTTTCTCACTGAGCATTTAAATTATCTTTGAGCCTATTGTGTGAATGTTGTTAATATAGAATAGGGAATAGGCTATTTTTAAATCAAAAGTAGATTTGATCTAAGAATATGAAGCCCACGTGTGCTTGTGAAAATATTTAAAATATAGTAAGGTTGAGGGGGAAAACGTGGCAGTTTCTTAACTGCTGCATGTTATTTCCACCTGTGAAATATCTGCAGTACGTTTTCAGCATTCACTGAACATTAAATTTCCTTTGTAAATATTTTTGTATTCTTTACTAGTTTAGGAAACCTCTTGTTTATCTCACCATGTTTGCAGAACCAACATAGAACAGAGTAATATATACATTAACAAAGTGAGTTTAAATTGGATATTTAATTTATATATTTAAACTACTATCTGCCTCTCTATAGAAGCCTTATTTCAGTGTGTATAAAAATGTTTTTGCAATTTTGTCAAAGATATATATTGTGGTATATAACCAAGGCTAATTAAATGACAAGATTCCACTCATAATTATGGACCTATACAAGTTATGCACATATACCCAAGATCAAACTACGTGTTATTTTTTCAAAAGTGGGCTTGAACTTGAAATCTTATTTTGAAGAAAAAATTATGGAGTTCCAATTAAAAACATTCTTGTCCTACAGACTAAAGTAGTTTTCCAAAAAACTAATTCATTCTCAGATTTAGTTTGTTTTGTTTGTTTGTTTACATGGAAATAATCCACTATTATCCTTAGAAGGCTATAAGCTCTCAAAATCTTTCCTACCTCCACTCTCTACATGTTGTAAAAACTTTAGAATTGAATATCCCTTTCTGGTGATTGTGTCTCTTTAAGCAGGTCTATCAGCCACTAAAGCCTTCTCTCCTTGCCTTTCATTCTTTTCCAGTTCTAGCCTATCTTTCCTCTCTGTCTGTCTCCAAAGTTGCTCTTCTTCCTCTTTTAATTAATCAAAGCCTTTCTTCTCTTGCTGTTGCTTTAACATTTCTGTAATTATATTGGCACACGTTTATGGGCCTAGCAACATTTCTTGCTGGTCTACCTACTGCTTTAGTTTAACTACAGGCCTAGGGTGGATATCTGCTTCTGTCAAAGTAATAGTCCCCTTAATGGAAGCCTGTCCCTTCTACCTTTTCCATGTCTGTTTTTATGGAGTAGGTCTGATAAAAGAAGGATGTTGTCCAATTCCTACAAAGTTTGAGCTCTGTGAGAGTCAAACCCCCTTTTGCAGCCTCAGTATATTTAAGTCAGTGAGCTCTAAAACAAAATAGCCAACATAACACCATTCTCTAGGAAACATACACACAAGCATTCACCCGGTGCTACTATACCTCCTACTATTGTTCCATGAACTACTATTCCCTGTGAGTTCAACTACTGTAGAAAAGTATATCTTTCTAGCTGCTTTAGGCTTCTTTATTGCCACACATGAACAAACCCACACCTCCTTCCCTCCTTCTCCCTTGCACCAACATTACACCCAGCTGTCTTTCAGGCAGTTTTTATAGTTAATGTTTCTAAGATGGCTGGGAAGAAGGCTTAAAGAGGCAGGAAAACAGCAGCACAGATGCTGGCCATTTTATAGATAACCAGACATCTTATACGGTTCTTCTTTACTTGACTAAACTGCAGAAAGATACCATCCAGGAAATATATTCTAGATTGGAACACTTTGGAATAAATACAGTTTGTAGGTATGGGAATAATGTAACTTAAATTTCTGAAGAAATCTGAAAAAGCCAGAGATAAACATTTTATAATTTTTTTTTCAGAAAAGTTCCATGATTGTAACTATTTTTGCATGCAGCTTTTTTCATTAATTTTATGTCATATGGCTTTGACAAAGATAAAATCTAGGAAAAAAAACTATCTCATAAATATGGATAAAGATCACAAGGTGTTTTCTTTATCATTTTATTTTTTTCTTTTCCTGTCCTCAGGTATTAGAAATGGGAAGTTTATGTTATTTTTCAAGTTTCTTTTTCTTATTTACAGTTGAGCTGCTATAATCTGATAACAACTGGATAAAACAACTTTCAACTTCCAAAACCTTTATGAAAGGTTTTTCATGAAAGAAGCTGTATTTGTTTTGGTTTTTAAATAAAAGCTTTGAATTACCACCAGCAAACTGTAGTAAAAAGTATTCCATTGTTTTATTATATAATCTTATCAGTGTATTTATTATACGTACATTACCATATTTACATTGATATTCTCCTCTCTCTCTGACCATGTGAAACTATTATGTTCCCAATTGTGGTTTTTCAAATAATTAAATTCTGGTATGGCTTTACATATTGAACAGGAAGAAAATATTTCCAAATAGTTTCCTAGTCTTAGATTTAGTTCTGAACTAGGCCTGAGTCTGCAGGTCAAAGAGTAGACTAACTCCAGCAGAGTTACTAATAAGGGACAATTCAAAGAAGGAATTAAGCCATAAAATTGTTCATCCTGCAGATGAAAGAGATAACTTTTGTAGGTGCATGCTCTTGTCATGGAAATTTCATTGTAAGAAACCATATAAACGGTTATTTCACTTTTATTTTCAGGAAATATGCTTTTAGACACAGTCTGGTTAAATCAGATTTTAAAGGGCCAGACAAATTTACTCTGTTGTAAAAAATATCACTTACTAATGAATGCAGTACACAAAGATATCCAAGGCTAAGTTTTCTTTAGATGGCTGGGTTTGAAGATCAGTTCTGAATTATTTCTCTCTTGAAATGGATTTATTGTTGAAAATGTAATCCCACATGGATTATATTAGAAAGCAACATAAATTATAAAAAATAATTTATATGTACTATTATATATTCAGTTATGATCAAACTGTCTATTTTTCCTGGTTACTGAAAACATATTGGAAGATACCACTTTATGTAGTAGTTATAGTAGTCC